AGAGAGAGAGAGAGAGAGAGAGAGAGAGAGAGAGAGAGAGAGAGAGAGAGAGAGAGAGAGAGAGAGAGAGAGGGAGAGAGAGAGAGAGTGGGGGGTGAAGGAGAGAGAGAGGGGGAGTGAAGGAGAGAGGTTATCGTTGCACCAGGAGGACAAAGTCACACCAGCAGGATTATATGGGGTGAGATACGCTGAACGGCGTTGGAAAAAAAAAAAAAAAAGGACGTTCTTACAACTCTCTCTTGCTACTCTCCATAGGACGACCTTTATTTTTATTTTTTTATCTTTGTCTTTTGGAGCGAAGAGCCGTCAAAAATTATTTTAAGCTGCTTAAAGGGCGAAAGAATAGTACTCCGATTGAGCTGGACACGCAGCTGGATATAGGACGACCTTTAGATCGACTTGGCCCTGATTATTGTCCACTTCTCTTCTACCTTTTCGTCAGCGTCAGCCTCAGCGTCAGCCTTGTTGTTGTTGTTGTTGTTGTTGTTGTTGTTGTTGTTGTTGTTGGGCCTCGCTGCACAAGTCGCCAAATGTGCAGAATGAGAACGAATCTTCTGCTGGAACAAGACCAAGTATAGGCAGAAGCATCAGGCTCAAGATTAAGGCAGACTGTAAAATAAGCTCAGGCCGTCGGGGCAGAGGCCTACCCTGGTTTCGGAAAACCTGGGCAAAAGAAAACCTAATGGCAACAATTTCAGAGGACGGTAAATTAGGAATGGACAGATGGTTGAAGCCACCTTGATGCTCTTGTTGGTGGATTGGGTGAAATATTAGGTTTCTACCCTGTTCTTCTGCACAATGTTTTCCATGGACACTAAAGGGTAGAGGAAAGGACTCTGGACCCCGTTTCGAGCAGCTGGGCGATGATTTCAGTAGCAAACTTTTTCATAGATTACCGTTTTTAGTCTGTGCTTCAAGACAATTTTGGAAAGTTCTTGGTAGAGGAAGGGACGCTGGACCCCGTTTCGAGCAGCTGGGCAACATTTTCTGAGCTCTTGTTGCTCTTGTTGGTTAGTTAGCGAGCTCTGCTCGTAAGGGAAACTGGGTGAGGCTGCCAGGATAACTCGGGGTAGAAGTGTGAGGTCCCCGGCCTGTTTCTTTTGATTGATAATGCAAGTACAAGCTTTCCAAAAAAAAAAAAAAAAAAAAAAAAAAAAAGAATC